ATTCCTTCTGTCATCAGCTAACTAATCAGTTTTCATTTCAGGTGCAATTTATAAGATTTTTATTCTTACCCAACTGCAAATTCAAAAATTGGCATAAAACCTAAAATAAAACCAGCAAGTCTTCTGTATCCACCAGATAATTTAGCCTTTTTTTTAAGAAAATCACCATGACTGAACTCCAATAAATTTTCGATTTTTTAATTTTCAAAATTTTAATTTTTTATTCAAGTGCAGATAATTACAAAACAAGCACGTGTGTACTTATTGCCAAGAATTAACAAATATTAACTTTTCCATTTTCGTTTCAGATTTTTCATAAGAAATTAAACATCGTAGATAAAGTTGAGGTCTGCGTTTTCCTCTGCTTCATTTCCCTCCCTCCACATAGACAACTTCCATTATAAATTTTATGGTAATCATTCAAAGCCATTTTTTATTTTGATCATGTTTAAATATGTGTATAGATACATACATTTAGTGCTGTTTGGGGGTATTTTAATTTACATAAACTTATAGCACTAATGTTCTCCAAGTCACTTTTCTCATTCAACATTACTTTTTGATGATCTGTTTTAACTGTTCTATAGTATTTCCTTGAATATATACATTATTAATATACAATATAGACTTTTTTTCATTTCCCTACTGGTGAACATTTGGATTGTTTCAATTTTTTACTGTTACATAAAATATATCCTTCTATGGGTATCCTTGTGCATATATGCAAGAATGTCTTTAAGATATATGCTGGATCATGCAGTAGGAGTACTACTATTTGCCAAATTATACCAATTTACACTCTCGTTAGCAGTGATGAATTCTCACCAACACTAGATGTAGTCAGACTTTTATTTTTTGCCTGTGAAGGGTGTGACTATAATTTACATTTAAATTAAATGTAAATTAAAGAGGTGGTGCATCTTTTCATGTTCATTAAACCTTATTTCCTCTTCTGTGAATTGCCCATTCTTACCTTTTATAAAATTTCCTATTGGATTTTCTTTCTCTCAATGATGTGTACACCTTTAAATAGTCTATTCATTTAACCCGTATGTATATAGCAAATACCTTCTCTTAGGTTGACACTTGTCTTTGTTTATGGGGTTTTTGTCCTCTAGGTTTTAATTTTAACATAGTCAAGTGTATCAAATTTTGTTAATGATCTGTTATTTGTATATTGCATAAGAAATCCTTCCCCCTACTGAGGGAAGTTTTCTTTTCATAGTTTTAGTTTCATTTTACACATCCTTTTCTTTAAAAAAAATTTTTTTTTAATTCAGTTATTGCTGGGGTATAGTAACACTATTGACTTTTATAGAGCAATTTTGTATTCAAAAACCGTATTGAATTACATCATTCTAATATTTTGTCTGTAAATCCTCTAGAATTTTCTGTGTAGACTTACTGTACACAAACACTAGCATTTAAAAATCTATTTTATTTAACATCAACGTTTTAAAACTTAACCTTTAATATGGAAAATTTCAAACAAACAAGAGATAAGAATCTGTCACTTGCAGGAATTCCCTGGTGGTCCAGTGGTTAGGACTCTGCCCTTTCAGGGCTGAGCACTTTCACTGCCTCACTGCTGATGTCCGAGTTCAATCCCTGGTTAGGCAACTAAGATCCTGCTGTGCGGTGCGGCCAAAAAAAAAGAATTTTTCATTTGTCCTGTATAATTTCTCACTTTGTGATTCTGCTGATTGTAATATCTAGGGGCTTGATTGGTTTTGTTTTTTTGTTTCCTCATTTGTTTTTGCAAAATTTTTTTCTGGAGATTTTTTTTAAATACAAGGAAACATTTTCGATTATCATTAAGAAATGTGCTGTTTGTAGTTTTCTTTTTTTATATGCACATTAAGGAAGCTTCCTTCCATTCTAGTTACCTTTTTTTTTGTCATAAATGTTGAATGTTATCAAATACTTTTTCTTTCATTTATTCATTTGCTTTCAACTTAAACCCTTGGCAGAGAAATAAAATTTGAAAGAATTTTATGTCTAGATCCATACCTAGGACTTTACTCTGGCATCTGGTAATGTCTCTTCCCACAGGTTAAGAATCCACGATGCCAAAGTGATGTGCTCAGCCAGGACACGTGGTCCCTTTCTAGACACACTTCTGACAACCAACTAGCCCAAATAGCTCCAAGCCTTGCTCAGGCCTCTGACAGAACTGTGCCAATACTGTATGCCAGGAGTGTAGACAGAGCTTAGAAATGTGAGGTGGGGAGTCCACATATACATATACACCAGGGTCCGCATGAACAAATCCAGGGGTGGGAAAAGGGGGGCAGTCTGTAGGTCAGGGGCCAACTCTCAGTGCATTGCCACATTTTGTCATGAAACTCCATGAAGTCAGAGAATTCTAAATTCAAACCTTGTCTTCCAGGTCATTATGAAGATATATTTGTCAAGAGAACAAAACATTTTAATAGTTTGGTAGCTTTATTTATAACTTTGAAGAGAAATAGAATATAGGCCTCAATTTGTACCCTGCAAATGTTGGTGGGATGCCTGACTAGTGAATTTATAGCTTAGTTAAAAACTGCATTTCATCAGTACTATTAGATTTTACAATCTGATTGACATTTTTAGTATGACATCTTTAAGACAAATACCACCCTGAACAGTGAGCCCAAATATTAGAATATAGAGGTTAAAAGCTCAAATTTTGGAGTAAGCCAAATCTTGCTTCTAATCTAGGTTCATTTGCTATGTAACTTTGAGGAAGTGACTTAATCTTTCTGAGCCTCAATTTCACCTGTAAAATGGGAATAATAGGATCTATCTCATGGCTGTTTTGAGGATTAAATCAAATACACATTAAGTGTTTAGGATTGTGACTGGCAGGTAAGTGCTCAATAAACTGCAGCTATTTTAAGGGAAAGGTTTTTTCTTAAGAATGCTAATTTTTTAAAAATATTTATTTATTTGGCTGCGTCGGGTCTTAGGTGCAGCACGCAGGATCCTCTCTAGTTGTGGCGCACGGGCTCTAGAGTGCATGAGCTCAGTAGTTGTGGCATGTGGGCTCCAGGGCCTGCGGGCTTTGTTGCTCCGCAGCACGTGGGATCTTAGTTCCCCATTCAGAGACTGAACCCACACCCCCTGCATTGGAAGGTGGATTCTTAACCACTGGACCACCAGGGAAGTCCCTTTAAGGGAAAATGTTGACTGCTACTAGCTAGGCACTATACTAAGTTCTTTATCTGCAGTGTATCACAAAAATCCTTGTAATAACCCAGATACTACTGTTATCTCCATTTTATGTAAAAAGAAATTAAAGCTAATGCAAATGACCTTTCAAACAACCCTGTCAGGACAGCAGAACATATATTAATCCCATTTTGTGAAGATGAGAAATGACTCCCAATTTTCAAAAGACCTGCTCCCTTCCAGGAAGATGGTGATCAGTAGAGCCAGAATTATTAGAGCCGCTCTCTGACCTCTACTTCAGTACTGTTTTCACTGTACCACACTGCCTCTGAAGTAAGGTTAATATTGCTATTTTCAACAAATGTGTAAATTCAAATGTTTTACATTGATATTCCTAAATATTAAAAAGAAAGGATTCCTTTTTTATTTTGAGAACAAAGGCATAACGGATTTACCCCACCCCCAAAATAAAACATTAAAAGACTTCAAATCTGAAAATCTTGCTTAGTGGATGTTTCACAAAAGTTCAAAATTTACATAAAGAAAAGTCAGGTATCCCAAAATCATTCCTCATTGGCAAATACCAATTATCTTTCAAAAAAAGAGACTATTTTGTCAATGTCTCCTGGCTAGCATATAAATTACAAGGCAGAGATTTTATCTCGTTTGTTCAATATATCACCTAGAATCGCGTACATAAAAGGTGCTTAGTAAATATTTACTGAATTAACAATTATAAATTCAAATAAAATCTATGTCATTTTCTCTGTGATAGATGCCACAGTGTTATACATAGGTATTAGCTTGAACCATATACAAAACTGCTGCTACTCAATTACTTTTCACCTACAAAGAGGCAATTTCATATGGTTCAACCTAATTGTTTTTACAAAGCTTTCTGGAGTATAACATTACAAAGTAAAGAAGTAAACAGGTATTGTGAAAGCTAAGACAGAAGTGGAAAAATTTTTTCTCCTAAGAAAAATTTATTATACGAAAGCTGCCAAAGGCTTCAGGTCCTATGCTGAGATATTCTCAAGAATCACCTATAACACTCCCACACTTTTAAAGAGGATCATGATTCACATTTTTTTGCATTTAAAATAACTCCCATTTTGGTGTTTATGTACATATACACTCACATGTGTAAATATGAAAAACATATTAAGAACATGGACTATATTTCTCTTTATTAGCTAATTCTGATTTAATGTAAATGTTCAAGTAACTAATTAGGTATAATTCTAACTATTATCAATGAGTAAAATAAATTCCAGTCTCCAGAGATCACATTAAAAACCTAATCTGGGGGCTTCCCTGGTGGCGCAGTGGTTGAGAGTCTGCCTGCTGATGCAGGGGACACGGGTTCATGCCCCAAGAGGCCTGCGTACCGCAAAAAAAAAAAAAACTAATCCGGACATATTACCTTTTCCAATACACTAACACATCAGGCTAAAAAAGGTGATTGATATGTAGTTACTCCACATTTAATTTTCTTCATCATTAGAAATATACCTAACATTAATACCTTTCTTTAAGTAGATTACTTCAAAAAGTATCATAGGAAAACCACACTTTAGTCAGTGTTTTACTGATGTCCTTTTCTTCTACATTTCCAAGAAAAACCCAGACTAATGTAGCTTTACTAATGTCCCTTAAAAGAGAGAAAGAGAAATGTCAAAATATGTCCAAACAAATCTGCTTTACATTTCTAGAAATAAAAGAATGTCACTTAAACATGACAGTTTCTAATTTTTATACATAATTTTGTCCATCTAGACCTTAAGATTACATAACTAACATTCCAAAAATCACAACTTTTAAATATATATGAAATAAAGAAAGTATCTGGGTTATAAAAGATTTTAATATCAAATAAAGTATAATTTACATGATTAAAAGGTTTTGATTTCCATTCTACTTAGTGTAAGAAGCTGACAAAGTATAGTTTCTAAGTCAAATGATTTTTATCTTCTTATATTTCAAATGAAATGTTAATGGCCTAAAACTAAACAATCTGCCATGAATGACAATAAGCAAGGGTAGCACATATCATCAGCAAGTTATCAAATGTCACAAGTTCATATTTTTCTTGTTTGTGATCCCCAAACTGGCAGCATTTTCATTTCATCCACTCTGTTCTTATGTATTTGAAAAGCAGGTGTTATCCATCTACCACATGAGCACTGTTCACCATACCAGTTGAAAGAACCCAACTTGGCATTGCATTTGGGGCAAAGAAGCTGAAATAAAATAAATGTGTTACTTCATTCATTCACTTTTATACAAAACAAATAATTATCTTTGGTAATATATGATATAAAAACAGGTAAGACATGGCTCATACCTTCAAGGAGTTGATGGTCTAATCAGTGAGATGTAATGGCAATTTACTGTAATAGATAGTAGACTACAATAATTGTGTAAGAAGTATGTTGTACTCTGGGAGTTTAAAGGAGGAATAGATTAATTCCAGCATTAAGGGAGAAAGGTGAAGGTTGAGATGTGAAACAGAAGGTTTTGTGACTGTTTTGTGACTGTGGCACATGTGTTGACTTTTAAATCATCGACAAGCTATATAGAAAGTCTGGGCATAAAACTCAGAAACTAGAATTGATTACATAAATATCTTAAATTTTAGTTTGACAAAATATACCACATTCCTCAAAACAATTAAACATAGAGTTACTATATGATCCAGTAATTCCACTTCTAGGTATATACCCCAAAGAGATAAAAGCAGGAACTCAAACAGATATTTGTATACCCATGTTCATAGCAGCATTATTCACAATACTCAAAGGGAGGAAGCAACCCAAATGTCCATGGATAGATGAACGGATAAACAAAATGTGGGGCTTCCCTGGTGGTGCAGTGGTTGACAGTCCGCCTGCCGATGCAGGGAACATGGGTTTGTGCCCCGGTCCGGGAAGATCCCACATGCCGCGGAGCAGCTAGGCCCGTGAGCCATGTCCACTGAGCCTGCGCGTCCGGAGCCTGTGCTCCGCAACGGGAGAGGCCACAACAGTGAGAGGCCCGCGTACCGCAAAAAAAAAAAAAAAATGTGGTAGCCTATACATAAAATGGAATATTATTCAGCATTAAAAAGGAAGGAAACTCTGATACATGCTATAACATGGATGAACCTTGAGGACATTATGCCAAGTGCAATAAGCCAGTCACAAAAGGACAAATATATGTGTAATTCCACTTTATGAGGCACCTGGAGTACTCAAATTCATAAAGACAGAAAGTAGAATGGTGGTTGCCAGGGCCTGGTGGGGGTGGTATGGGGAATTAGTGTTTAATGGGTATGGCATTTCAGTTGGGGAAGATGGTGGTGACGGTTGCACAACAATGTGAATGTTCTCAAGGCTACTGTTAAAATGGTAAATTTATGTTATGAATATTTTACCACAATTTAAAAAACCCACATTCACAATATATGTATGTCATTTATGCTGTATACCTTCAACTTATACACTGCTGTATGTCAATTATATCTCAAAAAGCTGAAGAAAAAAATGTATCACAAAGCTGAGATAAAAGCAACAGACTGGAGAAAATATCTGCAACATATTACACGAAACATTAACTCTAGACTATATAAAGAACTCCTACAAATCCATTAGAAAAAGACAAAACCCACAGAAAAATGGGCCAAGGACCTGAAGGAAATTTACTGTAAAAGAAAATATAAATGGCTCATAAGTATATAAAGATGTTGGTCTCAGTAGTAGTCATGGAGATTCAAATTAAAACATTTTACGATTAACATTTTTCATCTCACAGACTGACAGACTGACAAAACCTTACCAATTTTACAATATCCATTATGTCAAGGGTATGGGGAAATGAGTATATGCATTCAACATTAGTGAAAGGCAAATTTGTATGGGCATTGTTAATGTCAGCCCAGACTATCAGTAATATTTAAAATGTACACACTCCTCAAGCCAGGATTTCCACTTTTAGGTATATATTCTATAAGAAAATTCAAATAAGTGTACAAAGAAGTATGCACAAATGTGATCTAGAATATTTCACAAAAACGCCTTTATCTTGTGTTTTCCGGGTTAAATAAAAGCAGCAAGGGAATTCCCTGGCAGTCCAGTGGTTAAGATTCCACACTGCCACTGCTGAGGGCCCAGGTTCAATCCCTGGTTGGGGAACTAAGATCCCACAAGCTGCAAGGCACGCCCCAAAAAACAATAAACAAAAGCAGCAAGGCAAAAGCACAAGCCACAAAAGAAAAAAACAGATAAAGTGGACTTCAACAAATAATATCATCAAGAATGGGAAGTGACTGCTGTACAAGGTTTATTTGGTAGCGATAAAAATGGTGATAGCTGCAAAAACCTCCGTGAATATACTAAAAACCACTGAACTGTACATTTTCAATGGGTACATTATATGGTAAGTGAATTATACCTCAATAAAGCAGCATTATCTGAAACCATGGGTTTGAATATAGGGTACCTCTTTCTAGGCAAGACACTAACTAATGCAAACTAAGTTTCCTCACATATAAAATGTGAATAGATATGTGCTCGATTTTATAAAGTTATTGTATTCTTCAAATGAAATAATACAGTGAAAAGGTTTCATAAAATACTCACCATACAAACTTATACAAACTTTAAACATCATTATATCTTAGATTTAGAATATCTTTAGATTAATATCATGTAAACCTAAAGGAGAATTGTGGCTGTCACAGGATGCTCATATGAGCTGCATTCTTTAGAATTAACAGGAAATGAAAAAAAATCTCACAACAAACATACAAAACTGAAAAACCAAGAAAACAAATATACAAAGCCAAAAGAGAAAAAAAGGAAGATTAAGAAGAAATCTAAAATCTAATTTTAAAATCCTTGATTTGCCCTACTTCTTACAAAGTTCAAGTTTTAAATATATTCTAATTAGTTTGTTAGTCTTAATTTGAAAAAATACAAACAATACCCTTAAAAGGAATTAATTAACTTAGACCAACAGCTTTCCACCAAAAGTCGTTCACTATTTTACATCAGCTCGTTTTTATTTGACTAATTTATCTTTGATAAAGTCTTATCTATATTAGAAAGATATTAAACTTTAGAAAGAAAGCAGTTAAGATGGAGTAAAATGCTAGTTAAAATATGGTTTAAAATGAAAGGAACAAAATATAGATGACATAATAAAACCGTAGAAAGTAAAACGTGTTCTCACCTGTCCATCCATCACTCCCAACAAACTGGATTCCATCCACTGCACAGGTTCAATGAAATAAGATGTACACTGAGCCTGACTCCCTGTAGTAAGCATGAAGGATGGTGTCATTCTCTTATGGGCAAAGGCTATAGGACCACTTCCTTCATTATGATCCAAAATGCTAGAACTTCGAAATATAGATCGCCTGCAACCCCCAAACAAACAAAAACATTAATGACTTGCAAAAGGATGAAAAAATAGATTAAATGTGCAGTTATTTCTTAGGGGGCAAATTAATATAACATTGATTATGCTACTTTAATTTTCAATAACTTCTACAAGTAACTGCATTACTTTTAAGAATTCATATTCTTCTTGAAACCAGATTTGAATATGAAATTTCTGTATTATTCAATTAAACAAATTCCTCCTACTAGATTTTAAGAAACTGAAACTTTCAGTACTTTTCAGCTACTGAGACAAAATAAAATCTCCAGAAGATACAAAATATTTTACCTGCACTTTCTACATTTGTAGAGAACCCCATCTTTCAATCCTTGTGTAATGGCGGATGGGTCAACAGCAAAGAGTTCTTGAGGTAAGTTCTGCAATTCTACATGACACAAAATGTATCCATTTGTCAAAATCAACTCTGCATTTTCAGACAAAATTCAGCTAATGTCAAATTGAGGCAAGTAGTGCTAACTTCAGAAATTAAAATATATATATATTCTCCATTGTTGAGAAATCAGGATGAGGTAGGAGGGCACAGTGATCAAGCCCTTGGGTTTCAGGTACAGACTGCCTGAGTTCAAATTCAAGCCAGCCACTTACAAACCTTGTGACCCTGAACAAGCTATTTCTTGCTAAACCATGGTTTCAAAAGGAAATAAATACCTATCTCAAGGGGTCGCTGGAAAAAGGGATAATGCACCTGAAACATTTGGTGTCAGAGTAAACAGCATCTAGAAAGGACCAAACACATACTACCAATTATTACTCACCTGGATACTTCTCTGTAACCTTTTGTAAACGATACTGTTTATAAATTGCACTAGAGGTATCTACTTCACATCCCATTGCCTGGTATAATTTCAGTTGCCACTCAAACCCCTCATTCACCCTGCAAGGACAAACAAACATAGTTAATTTTTCTTTAAATAAATAAAATCACATCACAAAAGCAGAATTATTACTACGACAAAGAACTCACTTAGCCTCTGGTTTGATAGTCTTAAGGTTTTCATAGGCTTTTTCAAAGGTAAGTTGGTCAGTCTTCATCATAAAAGCAGTCATTACAGCCACACTTCGACTGACCCCTGCGTGACTGAAAAAGAAACCTTTAAAATATCAAATAGCAACAATTAAAAAAACCCAGCCCCCCACTAATGGTAAAGTTCAGGTCCACTTCTTGTCTGCTTCTTCTACTCAAACGCTTTGCCTCTGAATTACTACTGCTGTACAAAAGAATTATTCCCTTATTTCCTTATTCATTTTGAATTCTGAACCATATGAAGGTATTACCTATTCAAAAATAATTACACTAATTTTTTTTAACATTTTATAATGGCTTCAGAAAAAATCTAAACTCCTTTGCTGGCTTTAAGAGCCCTGGAGATCTGATCCCAGACTTCTTTCCCTTTTATCACTTCCTTATGTCCTTTATGTAATATTTAGAACAAATGCTGGCAGTAAAAGTGCTGGCTCAATAAATGTAAACTATCGTTATTACACTCTTTTTGCCATTGCTATCACCTACTCCATCTTTCCCCTAGGAATGGCTTAGGGATCCTTTACATCCTAACCAATTTTTCTCTCCCCAAATTTCCCCTACATCAGCCACCCCGCCTCAAACAAAAGCAATGAAAATAATTTCCTCTGAAGTTTGAATAACCTTAACCTTTGTTAATCTCTTACTACACACCTCGCATCCTAGTCTGCATTACAATAATCTGGGTATGTGTGTGGCCTCTCGTGGACAGATTTAAACTCTGTAAGTGCAGGGACTTTGTCATTTACCTGAAGATTCCTCCTACCTCCGAAACAAAACTCAGCGGCTGCAGGATGAACCAACACAAACTGAATGAATGAAAGCCTGCACGCCATCAGGGGCCCGCCTCCTGCCCGATCCTCTCTCAGACACAAGCCTGTGCGAGAGGGAGGAGGAGAAGGTTCTAGTGGCCGACAGCCCCTTCGTCCTCTTCTGGGGCCTGGGAGAAGGGTGAGGGGGGCAGGCTGGAAGCGTGGCGGGGTTGCTCTCCCCACGGACCCGGCCACTCACCAATGCACCAGCACCGCGCGGCCCTCGGCGCGGGCCTGGCCGATGAAGGCCACGCACCGGTCCAGATGGCTAAGCAGGTCGGTCTCGGGTTTGTCCAGCGCTGGCACGAAGAGACTCCGTAGATCCTCGACCCCAGCCGCCGTGTTGAAGTCGGTCTCCTCCGAGTCGACCGTCAGCACGGCCGTGATGCCCGCCTCCCTCAGGTAGTCCGGCTCCGCGACTGCCGCAGCTCCACCCAGGAACAGCCCCGGCCGCACCTCCAGCATGTGCTCAGCGGAGCTGGCCCGGGTCCGGCTGCCGGCCGTGCGCTCGCACCCTTGGCTCCCGTACTGAGGCTCCAACATGGCGGCGCCCGGAGGCCGGACTGAGGAGGGCCCTACCATCGAGTAGGGGGTCGGCTAGAACGTCCCTCAACTAGGACCGGCCGGCCTGAGTTGCGCTGCCGCTCCCTCGTGGGACCACGTCGACCGCGGGAATGTGGATTTACTGGGGGAAGGTGACGTTACTGCGGCTGGGGCGGAGCTAAACCCCGTTCAAAACAGCTTCTGGAGCCTTGTCTCTACCCGGCTCCTCCAACTTGGTGGGATAGGATAAACTAACGCTAATACAGGGCTTCTCAGGCTCTTAGTGTTGAGATTTTCTGGATTTTCTGCAGGAGCAGAAAATGGACTCAAACTGAAATGATGGTCCCACCAACTGAATCAGCAGCATAATTGTATGCATTTGAAATAAAACATTTTTTCAATGCTTATGAAGCCATTTGTTTGTAGTTCTTCTCTTGGGACTATTTTTCCTTTTTCTTTTCCTTTTTGTCCCGTTTTTTATTGGTATGTGAATCCTTTTCTTGTTGATGTATACTGTTCTATATATTTGAAGATATTAATCCCATGGTTTTGTGTGTCAGTGCCCTCCAGCCAAAGACCACCAAGAATCCACCTGTAGTTAAGTAAATTGGGTTTATTACTCAACCATGAACTGGAGAATTTCGGGAAATCTAGGTAAGAGAGTGTTAGGAAGATCCTATTACAGGATTTGAGCTTGTATTAGATGAGTTTGGGCTAAGGGTCTAAGGGACTAAGCATCTAAAGAAGCAGGACTTTGCTCTGGATTGGATGCTGTCAGGAAGTGGGGGTGATTCTATCACTGGGTATCTTAATAAATCTTACCTAAGGGAGGAAAGGCTAGAGAGACACTAAAGCTGTAATTGGTCAAGAAGTAGCAGTCAGTCATGGTCCTGGCATAAAGACCAAAACATGTTTGGCATTTTGAAGTTGGACAATGTTCCTGTTTTATTTGTGTTCAGACATGATTACGGTGGTCTTGCTTTTGTTTTAAGGGCATAAAAAGATTTATTACTCACATAATGAGGCTTTCTGGAGATAGCAGGGTGACTCACCAGTAGGTCCAAAAATGAATTGAGAAAGCAGAGACAGAAAACTGGCTTGGGGTTTTTATTGCTGTTAGAGTATGGGCCCAGAGTGAGGATTCCCACATGAGCAGGGAATTTCATGGTGGTCTTGTTTTTGTCTTTCTTCATCATGAGCTCAGTGTTGCCTTGTCTGGGGTTGATGTCCTGTGAAATTGTTTATATTCAACAGGAGGGGAAAAACACCTAACTGTGAGTGCCCAGCCAGCTGTAGCAACACTAAGGAAGATCTACCTCGTAGTTCCAGGCCAGTTCCTGGATACCAGGGCTTGCTTTTGTCTTTCTCATATATAACTTTATAATTTTCAGAGAGATTGAGATTCGGGGCAGGGACACTTGAGCCCCATCCAAGTCAGATGGAGGAAGCAGCAAATGCTTCTGCTTGGGAACACTTAAGTGGGCAGCCTGCAGGGATAGAGGAAGAGTGCTAACTTCCCTTACTCCCACCACAGGCTGTGAACCTCTTCAGGGTTAGGACTTTGCTTTTTCATCTTTGTATCCCCCACAGAATTTAGGCTAATGGTGCTGGTTACTCCATCTTTTGAATGTTAGAAATGGAAGGGAAAGGAGTACCAGAAGAGACACTCCTTCCCTCTCAATGCCATTTCCTTCCCCATCCCAAAGGGTTTACCTCAAGGGCTCACTTAGCGTTTTTGCCTGGAGAGTCATGTTAGCGGTCTTCTGAGCCCCCAGTTGAATCAACTCAACCTTTCTCACTTTACAATCCTGGAAACATCTACTATGTGTCGGGCACTACAGTAGATGCTGAGGCTACAAAATGAATAAGAGTCTTTGCCCTCGAGGAACTTAGAGAAAAAGCTGGAATAAAAGATAAGTAAATAGCCCAATTATTGTTCTGATAGAAGTAAGGGCAAATTACTAAGGAAGCATGTGGGAGCTGGGCATCTAACCCTAATGGAAGGGGAGTAATCAAGGATAGCTTCCCAGAGGAAATGATGCTTGATCTAAGTCTTGTAGGATAAATGGGAATTTGTCGGGCAAAAAAGGAGGGAGGTGAGGCACTTGCTTAATTCTCCCAGCACATTCCAAAGAGAAGTCTGTCTTCAGGAGGACTGCCCTTGACCAGCTCCTGGGAGACAATCTCTGAGCCCTCAGAATAGCCTGCCTGATAAAATTGTTTTTGAATGCCTGAAGCCCTGGGCCATGCTGTATCAGTTTGACCTCTGGGAGGCTGGAGATGGAGTAGTTATGCTCAGTCGTGCAGGAGCTGCATGCCTATGTGACTGGCCCCCAATAAAAACCCCAGATACCAAGTTTGGGTAAGCTTCCTGTTTGGCCATACTTCAAGTGTGTTGTTACACGTCATCACTGGGAGAAAGAAGCAAGTGCCTCTGTGACTCCACTAGGAGGGGGTATCTGGAAGCTTTCACCTGGCTTCTCTTGGACTTCACCAATGCACCTTTTCTCTTTGCTGATCTGAATCTGTATTCTTTCACTGGAATAAGCCATAACTTTGTATAATTGCTCTTCTGAGTTCTGCAAATCCTTCCAGTGACTCAGCAAGCCTGAAGGAGCCTGGTGACCCCTGACACAGCATCCATTGTCTAGTATAGTGAAAACTAGAAACATCTAAATAAATGCAAGTAATGGAGTGGTTAAAGAAGTTGTTTTATCCATTCAATAAAATACTAGGCAACTATTTAAAAAGATAACAAAGGAAGTGGTTGATGCTAGCTATATTATAAAATTTTTAAAGATGGTTTACAAATAGAAAGCATGTCTGAGCATATATATGTGTGTATATATATATATGTATGTATGTATAGGAATATATACATATGAACTGTTAACAGTGGTTATTTCTGGGAGCTGGCATGAGGAGACTTACATGATAGGCTTTATACACTTCTTTCTATATAGTTTTAATCTTTTTTCAACAGGTATTATTAAAATTATTCACTGTTAACAATCATAGGTATTGACATTCTGGAAAAATGGGGGAAAAAAGAATTAAGGGTTAATTTCCTGGACATTTTATTAAGATATCCTAATCATTCCCTCAGCTTTATTAGTTTTCTGTTGGGAATGAGCTTTTCTTCCTCAACGCCCAAAAATGAATATAGTTTCCTTCAAGGATGGAAGTAAGAGACACTTCTGAATTGTTGTTGAATACCAACAAAGCCCGGCTCAGTGAATATCTGTATCTGGGGGAATAATAACGCCTCAATTCCTGAGGCTGAAGTGTATTTACCAGCTTCTGTATTTTTCTTCCTAGCCACTAGTTGGCACCATGTACCCTTTGGCAAGATACATTTTCTGTACCTCCCTTGAAAAAGGAGAAAATGAATATGGCGACATGCAAAAAAGCAGGATGTTAGGCCCAGGGAAGTAAATTCGTCTTTAGAGGGGCAGCTGGGTTGCTTCCTGTCAAGGAGAAGAGAAGAGGCTCTATGTCCTAGCACTGGTAGGTGCACGTGTGCGCGCACACACACATGCACGATGTATCTGTTCATTTTATTACGAGCAAGCCTACATCATTGATAAGCATGAATTAGGCAAGAATTCTAAGAGATAGTCTAGTATGCTGTGGTTTGCATTTTAAGAAGACACCCACGCATTCTATATAACATGGCCTAATCACACGAGAATACACATCACCCAGCCTTCCTGTTCTTTGGTTTTCTTCTAGAGCACAGTCACAAGTATGATTCATCACTTTCATCTTTAAAAATATTTGCTGTAAGTGCATATCTGTGCTGAGCAATGAGCAGGGAAACTTCCCCTCTTCTGCCCCATTGCCTCCCCATCATGGTCCAAAGACAAGTTCCTCTTTCTATCTCCAACATGTTGCCTAGGCCCTCCTACACCCAATGAATTATCAGTAAATGTTTGCCAATTATGTTCTTAATGGGGCTTAAGATCTGGGACAGTTATGAAGGTACACATGAAATGTACTTTAAGATCCCCAAATCAAAATGTTGACGAAAAATATAAATGGGTGATAATAACATAATTCTATTACTTTTTCTGTGTTCATGAGTAGGAGGTGTATACTTACAAAATGGTGAGTTCAGATTTGGTACTGTCTTTGAGGGGCACAGTCTGAAGACAGAGAAAACCCAAGTCTGAATCCCAAACTGCTTCTGACCCTATTACCTATTAATATGTGATTGTATGCCTGTAGAAAATTATATGATTTCTCTAAGCCTCAGTTTCTTCACCTGCAAAATAGGAGTAATTATAGCCATATTACAGAGTTCTAACACGAATTAACTTATCAACATGTATTATTAGTGGGAGAAAGAAATCCCAAGCTGAACCATTGCATCAGAAGCAGCTTGGAGAGGATTCCATGCAGGAGAGGCTGAGCTGTGGTGAGGGAGATATGGCTGCAGATGGCTTGTCTTGAGGAAGCTGTTGAGCAGAGATAAATTGCTGAGCGTGATCAGTCCAGGAATTCAATGGTCATGAGATTTAACAGAAAGTGAATCCTAACTACCCATCCAGCTACAACCACACCCTGAAGTCCACTTATTTTTTTTTTTTTGCGGTACACGGGCCTCTCACTGTTGTGGCCTCTCCCGCTGCGGAGCACAGGCTCTGGACGCGCAGGCTCAGCGGCCATGGCTCACGGGCCCAACCGCTCCGCAGCATGTGTGATCTCCCCGGACCGGGGCACGAACCTGTGTCCCCTGCATCGGCAGGCGGACTCTCAACCACTGTGCCACCAGGGAAGCCCCCTGAAGTCCACTTATTAATGTAGAGTCTGTGTCTTGGTAAAGATGTGTCCTCCTTCCCTAGAAGGGCGTCTATTGTCAAGATTCTGAGGGAATAATTTCAGCTCCACAAACCCTGGGACCAGAGATGACTGAATAAAGTTGAAGCCCCCTCGTTATGTAAGGACAACTTGGTCAGCTGATCCAACAACTCCTCCTGCCTTATTCCCAACTGCGTCCCCCACTCACCCCCAGTATTTACAAACTCATCACATTGTAGGACTATCCATTTGAGGAATACTAGGGCAGGAACTGGCTGATGATATCTGGGTCGTGCTCTCAGTTCCTTTTTTGACTCAAGGAGAAAGTGGTAAACAAAGAGTCAGA